ATGGGCTTTGGCCTGAGGAAAGCGGCGGCAGTTCGCCGTGGGGGGTGGCGGTGGCCGTTGTCTTGCTGATTGTTCTTGCGTCGCTCCACTCTAGTTTCGTTGACATGTGGAGGCCTTGAGCTCCTGCTGAAAGTCGAGCTCTGTTAGGGGTGTGAGAAGGTATTTTAATGGCGTAATTTGGTGTTGAAGAGATGAAGAGAGGAAGACAAGTGGATGTTTGTGTTGCTTAATTTGAAGAATTTTGAGGGATTTTGTAATTAGTTATAGGAAAAAAAATATTATAATCATTTAATTTTATTTTTAATTTTTTTATTTATTGGAGGTTGTTGCATCCTGAAATATTCACGGCGGTAGAGAAATATAAAGTTTAGCATCTTAGCGTTGTACGAAAATCCAGCATGCATACAAATAAAAAGAGATATGGTGTAGTATTTAACGAGATACCAAGATTTTTATGTGAAAAACTCCTGAAAATCAGGAAAAACCACGAGGTCTAGCCCATATTGAATGAATCCACTAGTATTTGTAGTTGATTACAAATGAGGCCCTTCCTTGGGGAACGGCCTTAGCTTGATGTATATAATATAGAGTACATTACATGAAAGGAATACAAATAATCACTGTTTATGTATTTGTTTCGTTGGAAGGACCGTAGTCGGTGGGCGATGTAAGTCGAAAGGACCATAGTCGGCGGGCGACGGAGGTCGTAAAGACCATCGTCTGACGACGGAGGTTGGAAGGATGGCATCAGGGAGAAGTCCAACAATAGAAAAAAGTTCAGCATCGAATAGAAGTCCGATGCATGTCTGATGACGGGCCGAAGTCCAGCGTCGGGTAGAAGCCCGATTGAATTCCGGTGATGGGTCCGGTGCCAGGTAAAAATCCTGTGACGAGCGGAGGTTCAGCGTCGGGTAGAAGTCCAACGATGAGTGGAGGTCCGGCGTCAGTCGGCGGCCGGGCAGAACTCAGGTGTCGGTAGGTTGCCGGGTGAAAGTCCAACGGTGATCGAAGAGGAGTCTCTTCCTTCTCTTCTCTTCTTGCTTGCGCCTCATTCTCTCCCCCGAGTAAATTGAGAGTGATTTGAATGGACGGCTGATGTTGATTCTTTTGATCATAGGCCGTTTATTAGGCATTTGAATGCCTTAATGATATCAGAATTTTACGATCTTGGGCTCGTTAGATTTGTCTCGCCAAGCCGCTCGATTCGATTATAAGCATGTCACGTTTGGAAACCGTTTGGTAATCTAAATTACCATTTGGTAATCTAAATTATGATTTGAACCTTCCGAATGTGCTTCGGGCCTTCAATTTGGACAAATTTGAGCTCGAATATGGTCGAATTTGGTGTCGTTGGGTTAGTATTTTCAAGACGTTCAGTTATACTATAAGTTTGTGAAAATGAAGTTCAGATGGCCTTCGATTTAATTTTTGAAGTTTCCAACTCGATTTTTGCCTCGAGATTCGTGCTTGATCAAGATAACTTTTTATGATATATCAAAAGTCATCCCAAATGAAGCATAAAGCTTTATTTGTGGAGCTTTTATATTACTTTTTTAAAATAGTTTTTTAAATTCTATTGTCAAAAATTTTAGTTTAAAAAAATTTGTACCAGAAACATACTTTAAAAAACAGTAAGAACCATCTCAAGATCATCCTATGTTCACATTCACCATTGCATTATTTCTAATATGAACACTAAGAAGAAAATAAACCTTTGAAAAATATAAAACATTGGCCATCTTAAGCTTTGACAACAAAGGGCTTGCTAAGAAGAAAGAATAAACAAGACTAAGGAAAATAGGCGCATCCACCCCTTCTAGAGATTGGAAGAAATTAGCATCACGAGCTATTTATTTAGTCATATTTTCTTTAAAAAAAAAGAATTATTGAACTTCCTGATATTAATATATTCAAAATGTTTATTTTATTTTAAAAAATTTCTACATAAAATATAGAAAACTTGGAAGAGGGAATCGAGTATTTTGCTATAAAAATTGCTTCTAAAGAAATTTCAAAACTTAAGGAAATTTAAATTTCATTTGGGATAGCTTTCTTACTGTTTTAAAAAATAACTTTTTAATATAAAAATTTTTGTTCATTAAAACAGGTCATGCATTAAAATAATTTTTTAGTTCAAAAATTTCATGAATTAAAAAATTTTGTACTAAAAGATGTTTTAGAAAGCTGCAAAAAATGTCCCAAACAAAGCCTAAATAAGACATTTCATTCATTTATAAGCAGTTTTTTTTTTTGAAGTCATGAGTGCTTTAATTCAGCATAAATTTTCTTTGTAGAAGCATTAAACAAATGGTCTTCATTGAATGTCATCTTTGACATGCAAGTTAGAGGACCATATATATTGCAGTCATGGCCAGAAAATGTTGGGCATTGACCATTCATTTATGCTGTTTTTTTTTTTTTTTTTTTTTTTTTTTTTTTTTTTGAGATTTTTGAGTCAATTAAGACATTCATACACACCTCACATATGCAAATTTCGAACCAAAAATCTGTTGGTTGAAAGCCAAAGACATGTTGGTTGATAGTCAAAGTTTTCAACTAATAGATCTAAGATGACCTGCCATGATCAAGCTTTGAACAAACATTTGGTGGATTTGAGCTTTATAATATACCTCCTTGATTAGTAGAATATTCAGTAAGATCGACTATATGCTCATCATTACTCTTTCTATTGAGAAATACATCATCAACATAAACCACTTGGTTTCTACCTCTCTATTTCTGAAAATTTGTGATGGCATGACCTTGTGGTATATGGTTAATGGATCTGATTCAGGTCCCAACTAAATGTAGTCAACTCAAATTCAACTCATGTAAAAATAATGGACACGAATCTAACTAGCTAAAAACCTGAATGATCTTAACAGACTAGATAACTCAATTTGTTTAAAAAAATTTAAAACTTACCAACTATAAAATTTAGGTTAATTGATAATAAATAAGAAGATCATATCAACAAGCAAAAGAATTTAAGTTAAAAATATTAAATGAGTCATTTTCGGATCAAAAGTGGGTTCTTTTGTCAGCCCAAATCCAACTTGTTTAATAAGTGGGTTGGAATTCTATATCTAAACCTGACCTATTTATTAAACATGTCAATGTGTATCCAGCTTTTGAGATCCAAATTGAATCAACGAGCCGGGTCATTTATTGACACACTGGATTATACATATATTAGTATTTTGAATTTTCTTTATATATATATATCTAAAAAAATAAATGACATTAGAAAAGGATGAAAAATGAGTTTAAGGCTTCGTTTGGGGCAGCTTGCTTCTTTATGAAATGACTTTTTAGTATAAAGTTTTCTAATTCAAGAAACTTTTATACTAGAAAACTGTTTAAAAAACTAGCAAAAAAGCTATCCCTAACGAAGTCTAAGGCTTTGTTTGGGAAGATTTTTATTGCTTCTTAAAATGAATTTTTTGTAAAAAAATAAAAAAATTTTGTATTAAAAAATTGTTTTAAAAAATAGAAAAAAAATCTTCTGAAATGGAGCTTAAATCAAATTTATATAGCTTTGTATGAATCGCATTTTTTTAATGCAACAGAATACTATCGATGAGTTATTTGGTTGTTGGCGACAAATTAGAAAAGGAGAAGGTAGGTAGGAAGCAATGAGTTATTGGGCTGAAGAAAATTTAACATATTACATCCATATCATCTGTAAATAATCACTATTACAAATATATCCTCTCTCTATTTGAAGTTGTACTTATCATTTTTTTCTATGCTTAGGTTAATATATATTGTATAATTGGAGAGGCAAATATAATTTCAAAAAATGAATTAAGATTAAACTTGTAATATAGCACTAATTAAAGCGTTTAAGTAAAACTAAAAAAATATATTAAATTTGAATTTTTAACAAAAATTAAGAAAAATCTTCTTATTAGATGAGGTTCAAAGGATTTTTAGAATGATAATTTAATTGCACACAAAAAAAATCGATCAAAATATTTTGACCTAATTTTAATTAAGATGAATTAAAATAATAATATATCATTTCTATTATAATTAAATAGCATAAAATTATGTGATTTCAATTCACAAATAAAACCAACAACATCATCAAGTCTTTATCTCTCTATGTGAGGTCAACTGAATGAATTCTTTTTATCCAATATATTCCGTTAAGAGTTAATTTTTCATTTAAATATGATAAAAAATATAATTTTTAATATTTTTTAACCAATTTTTTTTAGGTCTACCTATACTTTTTTTAACATAGATCAAATTTAATACATCTATTCTCCTAACCTGATCATCTGAAGGCCAACATTTTATGTGATCAAATCATCTAAGATGCCTCTCTCTAATCTTATCTACTATTGGAGCTACTCCACTCTTTTCACGTATATACTCATTTCACATTTTGTCTCTAAGAGACTATTAAGAGACTATTTGGTAGCATGATTTAGGCTGGATTTGAGGCGGATTTAAGTGAAATCCAACCAAACGGCCTAAAATGCAAAACCAAATCTCACAGCAAATGAAAGTCATTGTAGACGAAAAATTTCACCTTTTCATGCTAAATCTCGGATTTTCGAAATTCTATTTTTTGCTGGATTTACGAAATCCATTTGCTCGAGAGGAAGAGTCGGCTCTATAGCCAAACAATCACATCGAAATTAATAAGATTTATCATGAATGTTACCAAACAGTTTTCAAAATTTAGGCCTAAGGATTTCCAAAATCTGGATTTACGAAATCCTACTAAAATCAAATCTTGGGTGCTACCAAACAGCCCCTAAGAGTAAAGTAACTCATAACTCGCTAATAAATTCAAATACAATAAAAATATTTATTATGAAATATTGAACAAAATATCAAAATATTTATATCATATCAATAAAATAAATATAATTAACAAATTTAATATGTAAAATTTTTAAGATCATCATAATAAAAATTAGGTCAAAATATCCTAACACAATTATTTTCCATGAATCAGCCCCCAAAATTTAAGAGAGAACAATTGCTGTATTAAATTTGAATGTAGATTCTATGAGGAAAAATAAAGTAGGATTGATGATCACAGAGATTCAGTTAATAGTCATTTCTGCCTTTCTGATGAATCACAAAATTCCTGCTCACTAAACCCTCTGCAAATGGCAAATGGAGTAGCTCTTTGAATCATACAATAACATTTTAATTACATCAGAAGAAGCAGCGGACGATCTCTGCAATCAATCCATCTTCCAGAATCCAGATCACAATCGCCTCCCAATCTTCGCAAATCTCCTCACAGCACCAAAGATGATGGCTTTGGTGATCAGCCCGCGATCAACTGTGCATGCGAGGGCCAGAGCTCCGCCGATGAGAACAAACTTGGGAATATTGCTCCCCCATGGTTTCTTCTCAGCTTCCACTATGTCGTCACATTGATCACTGTAATCTCCCAAAGACTTAAGGTAGGAAGAAGTAACCTTGGTATTAATCTGGGCCATCATGGAGCAGGGGGAAAGCGGTTCGCCGGATTTCCTCGCCGCTTGGTATGCGCGGAGTCCAGGTTCGATTTTTTTGACACAGCCCCACATACCTTGTCGAACACCGAGCTTTGCGATTTCCCAGGGTATGCCCATGTCTTCATAATGGAAGAGAAGAACCTCGCAGGCGGTCATCTGACCATCTCCTCGCCTCGATTCGACTGAAAATAATGGTGTTAATATCAAGAACTTGAGAAAAATGTTGAGAAGGTAGAGATAAAAGTTCCTTGCCTGCACGAATGCACCAGCTGGAGTAATAAAGGTCCACTCGCCTGGGTTTCTTTCGGCGAGGTATTGAGGAGTATGGCACACCCTGAATCATCAATTAGAAGGAACTTTAGGAGAACAGGTAAACTATCTAATAAACCATAGCAAATAGTTCACAGATCATTACTACTGAAAGATCTACGATCTAAGTTGTTTTTATCCCCAAAATTTACTCTATAAAACAAAATTCAATCAGCTTTCTTGCACAAAAAAGTGACAAGACAAGATCATCAAAAAGTACAAAATTCTGACAGCACAGTGACATGGTAGAACACAGTACAATAAGTAAGATTTTCTGCGGGAATAAAGCAAAGCAAAAACAGTCATTTTTACATAAATATCCGATAACATATGATGTTTCAAAGGGACGAAACCAAAAACATGATCCATCAGAAGGATATGCATCTCTTGAAAGCGTCCAAAATTCCTTCAGTAGAAGATAAATCATTTCTCAGGAACCAAATTTTCAAAAATCTAAGCAGTAATAATATCAAACTTGTGCAAATTTAGGCTTCATTTGAGACAATTTTTTTATTACTTTTTAAGCAATTTTTTAGTATAAAAATTTCTAATTAATTTTTTTTTAAAGTAAACAAACCTTAAAGAACTATGGGCAGCTTTAAAGTCCCCCCCAAGTACTAAAACCACATTATATAGTATTGGTTGTGATGTGGACATCCAACCATGAAAGTTTATCAGAGGAAGACCCGAAGAAAATTTAGGCTTCATTTGAGACAATTTTTTTATTACTTTTTAAGCAATTTTTTAGTATAAAAATTTCTAATTAATTTTTTTTTAAAGTAAACAAACCTTAAAGAACTATGGGCAGCTTTAAAGTCCCCCCCAAGTACTAAAACCACATTATATAGTATTGGTTGTGATGTGGACATCCAACCATGAAAGTTTATCAGAGGAAGACCCGAAGATCAACAACATGATTGTACCACTTTATTTTAACTTATTATTTGTATTTTGATTTATTTATGTATTTTTTCGTTTTTACCCTCACTTTTTGAAGACTAAAAAGATGTCAAATCAGTGGAGAATGAGTTTGTTAATTCCTTATTTTAAGAATAAAGATGATGCACAAGAGTGTGCGAATTATAGAGGAATTAAGTTAATGCGTCATACTTTAAAACTATGATAGCGAGTTATGAAGCGTAGGTTGCGACGTGATACTAATATTTCTCAAAATCAATTTGGATTCATGCCGGGTAGGTCTACTATGGAAGCCATACATTTATTGAGAGGTTTGATGGAGAAATATAGAGAGAATAAGGAGGATCTATATATGATAATTATTGATTTAGGAAAGCATATGATAAAGTTCCAAGAGAAGTGCTATGGAGAGTTTTTGAAAAGAAAGGAGCTAATAATGCTTA